GTCGCCTACCCCAACAACTCCGTAGAACTTGAAGTCAGTAACGATAAGGTTGAGTGCCTGTGGATCAGAATCAGGGGGAAGGTCAACAAGACTGATATCCTGGTGGGAGTCTCTTACAGACCACCCGACCAGGATGATGAGGGTGATGAATTTTTCTACAGGCAACTGGTGGATGTCTCAAAATCTCCAGCCCTTGTTCCTGTGGGTGACTTTAACCTGCCGGATGTCTGCTGGGAACTCCACATGGTGGAGAAGAGGCAGTCTAGGAGATTCCTGGAGTGTATAGAGGATAATTTCCTGCTCCAGCTGGTAAATGAGCCTACCAGAGATGGGGCCCCGCTAGACCTTCTGTTCACAAACAGAGAGGGCCTGTTGGGAGATGTGGTGGTCGGAGACCATCTGGGGCACAGTGACCATGAAATAATAAAGTTTGCAATACTCAGGGATGCAATGAAGGTCATCAACAAAACCTCTATGCTGGACTTGGGGAGGGCAGATTTCAGTCTTTTCAGAAGACTAGTTCAGAGTGTACCCTGGGAAACTACTCTTGAAAACAAAGGGGTACAGGAGGGATGGACATGCTTCCAGAAGGAAGTCTTGAATGCACAAGAGAAGGCTGTCCCAGTCTGCCAAAAGGCAAGTCGATGGGGAAGACAACCGGTCTGGCTGAACAGGAAGATTTTGAAGGAAATTACAGTAAAAAAGAGAACCTACCGATTATGGAAAAAAGAATTGGCTACTCAGGAAGAGTTTAGGAATATAATTAGATCTTGCAGAAAGAAAATCAGAGAGATGAAGGTAAAACTTGATCTTGCCACTTGCGTTAAGGATAACAAAAAGTCTTTCTACAGGCACATCAGTAGCAAAAGGAGGGACAAGGAAAACCTCCATTCTGTATTGGACATGGGTGGGAACACAGTTATCAAAGATAAACAAAAGGCTGAGGTATTTAACACCTTCTTTACCTCAGTTTTCAACAGTAAGACAGGTTGCCCTGAGGACAGATGGCTTCTGGAGCTTGTAGACAGGGATAAGAAGCTGAATAGCCCTCCTGTAATTCAGGAGGAAACAGCGACCTGCTAAGCCACTTGGATCCTCATGAGTCTATGGGACCAGATGGGATCCATCCTAGGGTGATGAGGGAGCTGGTGGAAGGGTTAGCCAAGCTGCTCTCCATCATTTACCATCAGTCCTGGCTCACTGGGGAGGTCCCAGATGATTGGAAGTTGGCAAATGTCACGCCAATCCACAAAAAGGGCTGCAAGGAGGACCCGGGAAACTACAGGCCTGTCAGCCTGACCTCAGTGCCTGGCAAGGTTATGGAGCAGATCATCCTAGGTGTAATCACACAGCACCTCCAGGATGGACAAGGGATCAGAGACAGTCAGCATGGGTTTAGGAAGGGCAGGTCCTGTCTGACCAACCTGATCTCCTTTGATGATCAGGTGACCTGCCTGGTGGATGAGGGGAAGGCTGTGGATGTGGTCTATCTGGACTTCAGCAAAGCCTTTGACACCATCTCCCACAGCATACTCCTGAAAAAGCTGGCAGCCCATGGCTTGGACAGGAGCACTCTGTGCTGGGTTAAGACCTGGCTCGAGGGTCGGGCCCAGACAGTGGGACCAGTTGGCGGTCAGTCACTAGTGGTGTCCCCCAGGGATCAGTGCTGGACCCAGTTCTATTTATCTTTCTTGACGATTTAGATGAGAGGATTGAGTCCACTATTAGTAAATTTACAGATGACATCAAGCTGGGGGGGAGTGTTGATCAGATGGAAGGCAGAAGGGCTCTGCAGAGGGACCTGGACAGACTGAAGAGTTGAGCTGATTCCAACGGGATGAGGTTCAACAAGGTCAAGTGCCAGGTCCTGCACTTTGGCCACAATAACCCCATGCAGTGCTACAGGCTGGGGACAGTGCGGTTGGAGAGCAGCCAGGCAGAAAGGGACCTTGGAGTTTGGATGGATAGGAAGCTGAACATGAGCCAGCAGTGTGCCCAGGTGGCCAAGAAGGCCAATGGCATCCTGACCAGCAACAATGTGGCCAGCAGGAGCAGGGAAGTGATTTTTCCACTGTACTCAGCACTGGTGAGGTCGCACCTGGAGTTCTGTGTCCAGTTCTGGGCCCCTCAGTTCAGGAAGGATATTGAGGTGCTGGAGCAGGTCCATAGAAGAGCAACCAGGCTGGTGAAGGGACTTGAGCACAAGTCCTGTGAGGAGAGGTTGAGGGAGCTGGGGTTGTTTAGCCTGGAGAAGAAAAGGTTCAGGGAAGACCTCATCACTCTCTACAACTACCTGAAAGGAGGTTGCAGCCAGGTGGGCATTGGTCTCTTCTCCCAGGTAACTATCAGTAAGACAAGAGGGCATGGTCTCAAGCTCTGCCAGGTTTAGGTTGGATATTAGGAGGAAATTCTTTACAGAAAGGGTAATCTGGCATTGACTTGGGCTGCCCAGGGAGGGGGTGGATTTACCATCCCTGGAGGTTTTTAAGGTGAGACTGGATGTGACACTGTCCCAGTTTACATGAGGCAAGGGTCTTTTCCTGAGGATGAGTTAGGAGAAAAGACCCAAACTCCTCTCTCTAAACAATTATAAATCCAAAATTAAGAGGCTCCGATTGAAGGAAAAACAAATTATGGAAAAGGGAAAAATAACAGCCCTTTATTAAAAGGTATGTGCGTACTAACAGAAACACAGAAAAAAACAAGTAAAACAACCAAGCAATACTCCAGTACCCACAAATAATCCCCTGAAGCTGCCTCCTCTTCCCTGGGGTCAGTCATGCCAGATGTGGGGTGCCATATGACGAACGTTGAATGTGGATGGGAGGGGGGAACCCCAGGCAAAGGGTTTTTTCTTTTACCCCTTGCTCTGGGGGCGAGCGTGCTCTCCCCCTCCCCCCCCCCACCTCACAGCACCTCATGGCCCCCAGAGAGACCGGGACGCCAGTAGCAAGCAGGGAGAGCAGGCAGAGAGAGTTTATTGTTTTGGGTAACTGCTTAAATAGCTCTTGGGGGAATTACAAAGTGACCAGTGGGAGTCCAGGAGGTCTTACAAACAACCAATGACAATAAGGGGTTAACAACCAATAGATGAGTTCCTAGTTATCTCTCAGACATTCCAAAGATACAGGTAAGGGATCTTGGGAAGGAGAAAGGTTTACACAAAGAGTTACACCACCATTTTGGAAACATGTTCACTTTAAACAACATTAGAACTTCGTCATACTTTTCTATACCAAAAGCAACATGAAAGCAAACTGCAGCCTGCACTCTACTGCCAAGGGAATTGAGAAGAACGCATTTGCAATGTCAGTAGTGGCATACCACCTCTCTGCCTTAGACTCCAGCTCGTACTGGAGCTCCAACATGTCTGGAACAGCAGCACTCAGTGGCGGGGTGGCTTCATTCAGGCCACGATAGTCCACAGTCAATCTCCATTCTCCATCAGACTTACGCACAGGCCAGATGGGACTGTTGAAGGGGGAGTGGATCTTGCTGATCTCTCCTTGGCTCTCCAGCTCACGGATCATCTTATGGATGGGGATCATAGAGTCTCGATTTGTTTGGTACTGCCAACGATGCACTATTGTAGTGGCAATTGGCACTCGCTGTTCCTCAACCTTCAACAGTCCCACAGCAGAAGGGTTCTTCAAGAGGGCAGGTAGTGAATTCAAATGCTTAGCTGCCTCTGTCTCCACAGCAGCTATTCCAAAAACCCATCTATGTCCCTTGGGGTCTTTGAAATACCCATTCCTAAGGTAGTCAATGCCCAGGATATGTGGGGCATCTGGACCAGTCATAATGGGGTGTTTCTGCCACTCCTTCCCGGTCAAGCTCACTTCAGTTTCCAACACGGTCAACTGTTGAGACCCTCCTTTCACCCCATCATCATCAACTGGGCAGGCTGATTTGGTCTTATATTTCCTCTTTTGGATAGGGACAACCTCCATTGACTTGTTTGGTCCCTTGGCATTGCCTTATCTGGAGTCACCCTTGTATCAGGCCTCTCATTTTCATCTTTTCCTTTTCCCTGTGAAGGTTGCACCCATACTGAGCAGTTTTCTGTAGGCAACTGCTAAAACCTCACATGCATCTGCCACCTGCCTCTCTATGGGTCTACCACGACCTCTCTCCCTCACAGTTGTCATTATCTTTGTAGGGTTTAGGAGTTGTTTGAGAGTGAGTTTCCATGTTGTAGGAATTGAACAACTTTCTAGAAATTTACCCATATTCTCCCATGGCCCATGCCATTCGAGGTTTTCCACCACTGAGACTGGTTTCTGTGCCCGTTCTTGATAATTCCTGACCTTAACTACGAATATTAGATATGACACCATGGCACAAGCTTGCATGAGAAGCCCAAAAAGTAAAACGTCTCTTACATCTAAAGAGAGTTTAAATTTCCCAGAGGCCATTGTATTGGAACCAAAGGGAAAATGTATGAAGGGTTGGGCAAATATACGCCCTTGTGTTTATCCATAGGGATGGGTGCCATTATCCTAAAAACCCCAGAGGAAACAGTGTAGGCTAGAGCAGTAATATATCCTTGAGAACATATCCCGAACAAAAATAACAGGTGCTGAGTTTGCTATGTCATAAAACCAATGCAAGAGCTCTAATATACTTATTGCAATGAGGGTCGTAGTATCTGAGCTGAAAAACATCAACAGATGGGACAGAGATTTCGGCATAATTATATACCACAGAAAAGCAACGACCCCAGATTTCATGGTGCCTACAGGTTCATAAACACGTATAAAGTCACACAAGGGCAGTTATTCCTTTTCCACTTTTCCTCCTTTCTGAGAAAAGACCCAAACTCCTCTCTCTAAGCAATTATAAATCCAAAATTAAGAGACTCCAATTGAAGGAAAAACAAATTATGGAAAAGGAAAAATAACAGTCCTTTATTAAAAGGTATGTGTGTATTAACAGAAACACAGTGCAATTCCAACCACAGTCAATAGGGGGCACCGTTGGATCACTAGAGATGCAGAACTTGTAGTGTCCTGTTCCAGTCACCAGGTGGCGCTGTTGGATCACTGGTCACCACCACACGGGGGGACAGGGGGAAAGAAAGACAAACGTCCTGTGGGGTGTGTCAGAGAAAACCAAAAAAGACACTAGACCTTCTTTCCCTTCCCACACACTGGGAAAGGGGAGAGGGAGAGGGGGAAGGAAAAACAACAACAACAAACAAAAAAAAAAAAAAAAAAACAACCAAAAAATATTCTTCACTTACTCCGACTGGTCAAAACTGCTCTGCACAGCTCTCTCTCTCTCTCCCGGGGGAGCTCTTCGCCCGGGGAACAGTGAAAGGGAAAAGAAAAAAAGAAAAAAAAAATCTCCAGGGGAGAAGAAAAACAACAGCTCCTATCCGATGAAGATTTCAAGCAGGGCCTGCAGTTAGCCAACATCTGAGGAGCCGAGAGCAGCACCGAACCTCTCCTCCGATCTGTGCTGCAACCAACATCCCAGCCCACCAAACTCCCCCTCCCTCATTGCCCAGGAGACAAGAGAAAAAGGTAAACAATAGCCTTTCATCTGCCCTGTTTCCTAGGAGACTAATCTCTCAGCCATTAGCCAGGGAGCTAGCTCTTTTGTTCACCTGATAGCTCCTGATGGTTCTACACACAGGGCCTGGGGGAAGGGAAAAAAAAATTCCTTGCCTAGGTAAACCATGACAGGCACTTAGTGCCATAGTCTAGTAACTGTGGTGGTAGTGGATCAAGGCTTGGACTTGATGATCTCAGAGGTCCTTTCCAACCCATCTGATTCTATGATTCTATGATCTTACCTTTGCTGTTACCCGGGGTTGTATGTTTCCAAAAGCATCCACAACAAATTTTCCTTTACATGAGGGAGTGATTCCACATGCAGATGCTACTTTAATTTTCAGGGCAGATACTTGAGCTCCAGTATCTACTAAAAAAGTTACAGGGGTTTTGCAGGGATCAATTGGACAGGTTATTAACAAGTCTCCTTTGGAATATTTGGTAATATTTGGTAAGCTGTGTAACGTAAAACCAACCTTCATCCTCCGGCTTACCTATTGGGGAGAAAGAGAGGAGTTTCCCATCACCTCCCCTTTCTGTGATTCCTCCAGGGGAGGGGCTGTAGCAGGGACAGTTTTCAGGGATCCCTCCTTTGCTGGCCATTCTTGAATTAATATCTCTAATTTATCCATGGGTTTGCCATCCATTAGGGATTTTGGGATTCCTTTTTGCAAGCCTGCAATCCACAGGTTATTCCTTTTTTCCCTGTGTCCTCCAGTTTTAGTGGGTCTTCCTTGTCCAGGGGAGAATGTTACCTTTTGGAGTCTTGTTGGAGTGAGCAGCAAGCCCGCGGAGCCCCTGATGAAGGATGCAGGGGTGAAGGATTTTGACTTAGACATTTTGAGGTCATTTCCTTGGGGAAAAGCAGGGACTGCGAAAGACTTGAAAAGGTGCCAGTGCTTACCAGTCTCATCATGCCTAGGCTTCGGGAATGGAGATTTGAGAAGGGGCTCTACCCACGCTTGCTACAGGCGTGCTGATGGCTAAAAAGGCCAATGCGAGATAGACAAGTCCAGTTGCAGAAGGTACAGCAGAAAGACTCCCCAGGTGATATAGATGACACGTGATTCTTTCTGCGTTGTCTTTTCTCCTCGAGAGTGATCCTGCGTGTATTCTCAAAAGCAGCAGCAGCGTTATTGATGGTGTGTCTCCAGGCCTCCCGATTGGAGGCCAGGGTAGACCAATGGTGGTGATCAATATGGTCAAGGCTGAGGGATTGTTTCAGGCAGTCCTTGTATCTCCTCTTCGGGTCTTCTCTCTTGCGGCAGCCAGTGGCAAGTTCCCCATATAGCACAATCTTAGGGAGGCGATGATCCTGCATCCTGGAGACGTGCCCTGCCCAATGCACCTGAGTTCTCAGCAGCATGGCCTCAATGCTCATGACTGCTGCCTGTTGAAGGACAGACGTGTTGGTCACATAGTCAGTCCAGTGGATGTTGAGGATTGTACGGAGGCAGCGCTGATGGAAGCGTTCTAAGAGACGCAAGTGGTGGCGGTAAATGACCCATGATTCAGATCCATGGAAAAGAGTAGACCGTACAATGGTTCTGTAAATGCTGATCTTAATACTTTTCTTCAGGTGTTTGTTTTGCCACACTCTTTTATGGAGTTTACCAAAAGCTCTGTATGCCTTTGCTAACCTGTTGTCTATTTCAGCATCAATCTTACCATCCAAGGAGATGATGCTTCCCAGGTAATTAAACTGTTGGACTGATTTGAGCGCTGTTTCACCAATGGTGATATGGGGATGATGAAAGACTTCCTGAGGTGCAGGCTGATATAAAACTTCTGTCTTCTTCAAGCTGACTTCCAGACCAAAAAGCTCAGCAGCCTCTGCAAAGCAGAATGTTAGATGCTGCAGAACTACTTCTGTGTGGGCGACGAGGGCGGCATCATCAGCGTAAAGCAGCTCACGGACAAGATGATTTAAGGTCTTAGTGTGGGCCTTCAGTCGCCTTAGGTTGAATAGGCTCCCATCAGTATGATATCGAATGTAGACACCGTTTTCATCATCGAGGTCTGCTGTGACCCTTTGGAGCATCATGCTGAAGAAGACTGTGAATAAAGTTGGTACAAGAACGCAGCCTTGCTTCACACCATTAGCTATTGGAAACGGCTCAGAAAGTGCGTCGCCATATCTGACTTGACCGCGCTGGTCCTCATGAAGCGAGATGATCATTTTGAGGAACTTGGGAGGACATCCTAAATGTTCCAAAATCTGCCACAGACCTTTTCTGCTCACAGTATCGAAAGCCTTGGTGAGATCAACAAAGGTAACATAGAGTCCTTTGTTCTGTTCCTGACACTCCTCTTGCAGTTGTCTGAGAACAAATACCATGTCTCTGGTACCTCTGTTGGCTCAGAAACCATACTGACTCTCAGGTAGAAGATCTTCTGCTATGGTGGGTATTAATCTGTTCAAAAGAATTCTTGCAAGGATTTTACCAGCAATGGAGAGCAGAGTAATACCTCGATAATTTGAACAATCAGGTTTATCTCCTTTCCTCTTGTACAAGGTGACGATGACAGCGTCACGAAGGCCTGAAGGCAGTTCACGTCCTTCCCAGCAGCGCACCACAAATTCGTGAAACTTAACATGGAGTGCTTGGCCACCGTGCTTCCAGATTTCAGGTGGGATTCCATCAACCCCAGTTGCCTTACCAGTTTTTACCTGCTGTATTGCTTTAAGAGTTTCTCCCATGGTGGAGGCAGTGTCCAGTTCAGTTTTCACTGGTTGTTGTGAAATGTACTGCATTGCTGAGTCCTGAACTACACGGTTAGTACTGAAGAGAGTCTGGAAGTGTTCAGACCATCGATTCAAAATGGAAACTTTATCTGTGAGAAGCATTTGGCCATCTGCACTGAGTAGAGGGCTTTGAACCTGGTGTGTAGGACCGTAGGCTGTTTTCAGAGCCTCATAGAATCCCCTGTAATCACCTGTATCTGTGTGTAATTGGATTTTTTCCACTAGATTGGTCCACCACTTGTTCTGTATGTCACGGAGTGTCTGTTGTAGCTTGCTGCATGCAAGTCGAAAGGCTGCTTTTCTTATATGACAAGATGGTTGAGCAAGGTGGGCTTGGTGAGCAGTTCTCTTCTTACTCAACAATTCCTGGATCTCATGATTGTTTTCATCAAACCAGTCTTTGTTTTTCTTCAAGGAGAACCCTAAGGATTCTTCAGAGGACTGCAGAATGCTATTTTTAATAAGTTGCCAAAGCGCTTCGGGAGAGGGATCTGTGGAATGAACTTCAAGCCTGGATTGGAGATTTGCCTGGAAACTGTCCCTTACTGTAGCTGTTTGAAGACTGTTAACTTGAAGTCTTCTAGGAATGCTGCCCTTTTTAGGTTTGAATTAAGGTGGAAGTTAAGTTTACAGCGCACAAGGCGATGATCTGTTTGGCATTCTGCACTAGACATCACGCAGGTGTGACGAACATCGCGGATATCTCTCTGTCGGACCAAGATATAATCAATGAGGTGCCAGTGCTTGGACCTAGGATGCATCCAGGTTGTCTTCAGACTATCTTTCTGCTGAAAGATAGTGTTGGTGATGGTAAGCTGCTGCTCAGCACAAAACTCTAGCAGAAGGCAACCATTATCATTGCAGTTCCCAACACCGTGCTTGCCTAGTACTCCTTTCCAGGCTTCAGAGTTCTTTTCTACTCTGGTGTTGAAATCACCAAGGATAATGATCTTATCATCTGCAGGAACCTTTTGGATAAGGCGGCGTAGGTCGTTGTAGAATTTATCTTTTTCAGCAGGGTCAGCTTGGAGAGTTGGGGCATATATACTAAAGAGAACAACATGTTGCTTGTTGTGTAACGGGAGGCGTAGGGAGATAATACGATCAGAATGACCAGTCGGCAGATTTTTAAGTTTAGAGGCAATAGAGTTTTTAATCATGAAGCCAACTCCTGAGAAATGCCTTTCAGATCTGGGTTTACCTGACCAGTAGAGTGTATAACCGGCACCATGTTCTCTAAGGTTACCTTCCTCATGAAGACGAACTTCACTAAGAGCAGTGATGTTGATGTTGAGTCGTGACAGTTCATGGGCAATTAGAACAGAGCGACGCTCAGGACGTCCACTGTTCGCAGTATCAAGTATGGTTCTGATGTTCCAGCATGCAAGTGTTAATTTGAGTACACCTTTGGAGGCAGGTGTATGCCTTTTACTCTTAATCTTTGTTTGACCGCAACACAAGATGCCCGTTGGCCGCGGTTAACCAACCAGGTGAAGAGTGGAGATGAGTTTTGGTTAGGTCACCTTTTCTAGGCCCCTCTCCGCGTGGAGCAAGCAGTGCTCTCCTTGAAAAAGGCTGCTTGGTCATTCAGGATGCTGCCGAGTGAGTCTGTCATCTCCAGGGTCAGACTCAGGCGACCAATGTCCTGAACTGCCTGCATGCAGGGTTAGGACTGCGGTTTCCAGTGCATCTTATCACCTGCTGTTTTGTCCCTCACCTGTCGCTGCAGGACTTTACAAGTGTGGGCATAATCCTCGAGCCTGCGCAGTGGATTTTTTAGGTGAGGGTCAGCTTGCGCAGAACTGGTCCCACCCTTTACTCCTGAGGTTCATCTGCCAGGGCCTAGCAAGCTTGGACAGTGACAGTGAGGTCCTCAGGACGTAGGTTTAGTTAGAATATCCTTCTCTTGGATGGATGGTCTTAAAGGGTTAAGTGAGCTCCATCGGCCCGGGTTTGAAATTAGAGTTGTCCTTCTCCTAGGATGACCGCCAGAAGGCTAGTGAGCTCATCCTGCCCATGGACACATTTGACCCTTCAGTTTCGACCTGTCTGGCATGGGAGACCCTACCGGAGGCATATGCCACCACCAGCACAGCTCTCAACCTCAAAAGGGCATGCTGAAATAGTTTGGACAAGTCCTTCTCTCCCTACTTTTCCTTCACAGCTTCCTACAGTTTAACCTAGGGACATTTCCTTGCCCTGAGCACCCCTCTAAGATGCTATGAAACAAAACAAAACAAACAAACAAACAAAAAAACCCAACCCAAACCAAAAACAAACCTGCAAGGACCAACAAACAAAAACAAAACAAACAAACAAGGAAAAAAAAACCAAAAGAAAACTCCCAAAAAAACAAAACCAAAACAAAACAAAAAAAAAACCAAACAAAAAAAACCCAAAACCAAAAAAAACACCCCAAACCGAACACAACCCACAAAACAACAACAATAAAAACACACCACATTCCAGCCGAACCCATATCCCACTCCCACTCTCCCACTGCCTCAACGCCCGAAGAGGAGCGATCCCGGCATACCCCTGGGCAAGAGCGGGCACACGTGTAAGAGGTCCCCGCATGCACCTGGGCTTGGGCACCTTCCATAGCCCCTGCCCAGCCCAAACCCCCCCAACCCCCAGAGAAACCCACTGCCTGCCCCAAACCTCATCCTCCAGCGTGCCACCACAAGCTCCCCTTTGCACTGCCCACCCGCGGCCGCCCAAACAAGGCCGTCCCGCCGGCCCCCCCACGTTGGCTCGGGGAAACCCCAGGTCTGTCCGCCCACCCCCCTGCTCCTGCCCGGCCTGACCCGGCCCGGCCTAACCTGGGGATCTCCCCCCTCTCTGAACGGGACCATCTACCCGTCCCCCCACGACAATCTGGGGAACCCCCAGGACCGTCCGACCCCCCCCAGCCCCCCCCTGCACCCGCCTGACCCGACCCGGCGTGGCCCCATCCCACGGTCCGGCCCTGCATGGTCACCAGCCATTCGCCAACCGCTCCGTCGCTCCGACGTCGAAACAGAGCTCCCGACAGCTTCTCCACGAGGTCAACTGCACAGATCGGCACGGCACCATCTCCCATGCATGCAGGGCGGCAACAAGGCACAGGACCAGGAGCAAGTCCCTCACCACCCACCACTCAGCTGCAGGAGCACGCCGAGCACATGGCTGCCTGCCTGCCCAAGCTTACCAGTAAGGAAAGAAGGTAAATAAGGAATGAACATCCGATTATATGTGAAGGTTGGTAATAAATTATAGATAAAGAACTAATAATAGTAATGGTATGTAAGGTTCTGTACACAGTGTGAGTGCAAATGTGTGAGAACAAGAAGTTAATATACTGGACGAAGCAATAAAAGCTGAATGTCGGCCATCATCAGTAAAAGTGCCCAAATTTATTTTTTGTGACCGTCCTCAACTTACTACGACAGAGTCTTGCTGGACGAATACTTGTTTTGCACTCTGTGCACCGAATTGATTTAGAATCAGTAGAAATTGAAGGTACTGGACCATATTTTCTTCTATAATTAATTAATTCCTGTGCCACCTCCCCCCAGGTCCAAATCTGATTTTCTCCATGGTAACGACCGTGGGTTAAAGCTGCTTCTAAGGTGGCTGCAGTTCATTCTCCTTTGGTGAGGCTTTCTATTTGTCCTTTTAGTTGAATGCCAATGGGTTTCATAGCCTCAGGGAGACCTCTGATAAGGGAAATCATTCTTTCAGGGTCTACAGGCAGCATCATAGGGGATTCAGGTCTTAGTGTTAATTGCCTATCATACATCATTTGTAAACAGCAGCCTTTTGCACACTTTCCACAGTCTGATTAACATATCCCACTATAGCCAGGGGATCTCCCCTTTCTAGGGAGTTGAGTCAAGCAGGACCTGCCTTTCATAAACCCACACTGGCTGGGCTTGATCACCTGGTTGTCCTCTGTGTGTCGCATGATGGCACGCAAGAAGATCTGCTTCATGACCTTCCCTGGCACCAAGGTCAGGTTGACAGGTCTGTAGTTCCTTGTATCCCCCTTCCGACCCTTCTTGTAGATGGGTGTCACATTTGCCAACTTCCAGTCACTTGGGACCTCCCTGTTTGACCAGGACTGCTGGTAAATGATTGAAAGTGGCTTGGTGAGCTCTTCTGCCAGCTCCTTCAGTACTCTTGGGTGCATCCCATCTGGCCCCATAGACTTGTGCAGGTCTAAGTGGCATAGCAAGTCACTGACCATTCCCTCCTGCATTATGGGGTTTCATTCTGCTCCCTGTTTCTGCCTTCCAGCTCAGGGGGCTGGGTACGCTGAGGACAACTGGTCTTGTTAATAAAGACTGAGGCAAAGAAGGCATTAAGTACCACAGTCTTTTCCTCATCCTTTGTCACTATGCTTCCTCCCTGCATCCCAGAAAGGATAGAGATTCTCCTTGGCCCTCCTTTTGTTGCTGATGTATTTATAGAAACAGTTTTTGTTGTCTTTTATGGCAGTAGCCAGATTAACTCCTAGTTGGGCTTTGGGCCTTCTAATTTTCTCCCTGCATAACCTTACAACGTCCTTGTCATCCTTCTGAGTTGCCTGTCCCTTTTTCCAGAGGTAATAAACTCTCCGTTTCTCTCTGAGTCCCAGCCAAAGCTCCCTGTTCAGCCAGGCTGGTCTTCTTCCCTATCAGCTCCTCTTTTGGCACATAGGGACAGCCTGCTCCTGCACCTTTAAGATTTCCTTCTTGAAGTATGCCTTCCTGGACTCCTTTGCCCTTTAGGACTGCTTCCCAAAGGACTCTCTCAACCAGACCCCTAAACAGGTCCAAGTCTGCTCTCCGGACATGCAAGGTAGCAATTCTGCTGACTCCCCCTCCTTACTTCTCTGAGAACTCTATCATTTTGTGATCACTATGCCTAAAACAGCCTCTGACCATCACATCATCCACCCATCCTTCTCTGTTTCCAAAAATCAAGTCCAGCAGGGCACCTCCCCTGGTTGGCTCCCTCATCAGCTGTGAGCTGCTATCTTCCACACACTCACGAAACCTCCTGGACTGTTTTCTCTCTGCTGTGTTGTATTTTCAGCAGACATTTGGTAAGTTGAAGTCCCCCATAATAACAAGGTTCAGTGATCATGAGACTTCTCCTAGTTGCTTATAGAATGTTCCTTCTGTAACAAACTCCCCCCAGTATATCTGCCTTGTTGGTCTTCCCCCTGATTCTTACCCATAAACACTCAATTCCATCAGCACCATCATCAAGCTCCAGACAGTCGAGATACTCACTAGCATAGAGGGCTACCCCACTGCCTCTCTTGCCTTGCCTATCCCTTCTGAAGAGTTTGTAGCCATCAATTGCAGCATTCCAGTTGTGTGAGTCATCCCACTATGTGTCCATGATGGAAACTATGTCATCGTTTACCTGCTGCATCATAGCCTCCAGTTACTCTTGTTTGTTGCCCATGCTGTGTGCATTGGTGTAGATACACTTCATTTGGGTAATGACCCTGCCACCTTTTTGTGGGGTGAAGCCCTAATTCCTGTGTGACCATTCTCAGGTACTTCTGGGATTTCTAACATGTCAATAATCCTTGCATCCCAGATTCTGCATGGATCTTCATCCCCTACCTCAAATGAGATGGAAAACTGAAGGGTCTTGCTAGCACACTGTCCTTCCCAATTAGCAACTTTCCGTACAGTGAATATGTCTGGCTAAGTAGCCTGCAGCTAGAAGAGATGGATGAAAGAAGGGAATGGGCATGCATTCTACAGCATTTGGTTACAATTATACTCC